ATGTACGGTGGTTCAGAGCTCACATTTAACACGAATAAATTCATAAGCCCTATGAGGCGTAACCCATTATTCTCAAATGTAAATGCAATTATCTGCTTTAGTACGATTATATTTGAAGCTATGGTTTGCTCACATAAAGTGGATGTGATACACTTTCTGTGAAATTAGAAAATATATGACAATATCAGATTCAAACGAAAGGTAATCAGGAAGTTTTTAACCTGGACATATTTCCTGGTTGCCACACCATAAAAATTTTAAAATTGCGTCTTAATATACATTTTTCTATTTTTTCCAAGATAATTGGGGTATCCACAACGATGTCGTAAGTGTCGTATTGTTGTATGTCGTAAACTTTAAACGTCTAAAAAATATATTAAAGGGGTTCGCAAAGTACCATCAAAGTCATATAATGAATTTTTGTAGTGTTAAAAAATAGTTGGTTGTCGTTTTAAGTTATCTAAACATTTATTTAAGCTTTTAAAGTTTACGACATACAACAATACGACACTTACGACACCGTTGTGAATCCCTCAAATATCTCCTGTAGATGAACGTATATTTATGTTTTGTTAAACATGTATATACTTGTAATTCTTAAGCACATTTTCAATAACCACAAAGAACTGAAAAGTTAGTTGAACACTTCTTCAAAATCTTGATTATTCGAGTAACTACACTTTTGAGTAAGCATAATTTCCAATTAATCTAATAATTGAGTTACTTACTTATTTACCCAAATTATTATCATTATTTTAATTTTTTTTACCCGTTTAGTAGGACTGTGCGATTAATTGATTACTCAAAATTTTAATTAATCATAAAGTAAATAACTCAATTATTCGATTAATTGGAAATTATGATTACTCAAAAGTTCAGTTACTCGAGTAAGCAAGATTTTTGATTAACCAAAAAAAAAAAATTTGAGTAAGTTGCTTTATGATTAATCAACATTTCGAGTAAAATGAGTTATCAACATTTCAACTCTTTACATATGTATAAAGTAGTTAAAGTTCCTTGATACTTTGAAAACAACGTTTCTGTTTTCAAAAATTAAAACGAAAAATTGTTTTCATATACAGAATGTAAAAAAGAAAATAAGCATTTTCCAAAGCAAACTCTTTTAACGAGCAAAATTATTTTTTTTGAGTAATCATATTTCAAGTAACTCGATTAATCATCGTTTTGAGTAATCAAAATCTTGATTACTCGAGTAATTGATTAACCGAATAATTGATTAACCAACTTGCTCGCGAAATTAACACCCCTATTCTGCGATTCTTTCGTATTCGGATTTTGCTACGAATCGAAAAAATAGTGTGCTGCAATCCGAATCGTATTTTCGAACTTTCGAAATTCGTAACAATAGCATGTCTAAAAACGAACGAGTAAACTATGTAAATCGATGTGTGTTTGCAGGAAATATTAGTGGTGTTCTTTTAAAAAGACAAATTTGCCTTTCGTATATACACATATTTTTATCCACTGCTTTATATGAACGAACAAAAAAGAATGTTTGTTGCCCCTTATCGAGAAACTTGGGTCCGATTTAGTTATTTGTACAATGATTTTCGGTTGTTGTGTCCAAACGCATAAACCGAATCTAAAAACTTTAACATACACGTGTAAAAGGTTCAGTTTGCACTAGGCATTTTTTTATAAATTTCGATGTGGGTTCTGCGCAAAAATACTGTGGATGGCGTAGTCGGAGTTATATGCACAAGAAATGTTGTATGCCTATGACACGCGGAAGCCCCTTTATGCGGCAACACAGAAAGGAGAATTATACTTAGTAAGGGTTATAATCCCTAAGCGCGGCCGAAGGCAGAAGCAAGCGGATGTTTTCAATGGGTTGGAAGAAGATGTTATTGTATTAACTGGATTGAGAACCAGGTCTTCAGGCATAGGAGGTTGTGGTTCAACAATTCAACCAGAAGCTGACATAGATTCGTCCATGGTTTCTATGCCCCACAGCTCCTTATATATTTGTGAATTCGTTTCCATAATTGCAAATGCAATAGAGTCCATCGTTTCCTTCAAAATATGTAAAATTAAACAATTTTACCATAAATAAGCACTTGATAAATGTTTTTTTATTCCTTTTCACTTTGTTTTCCTTCATACAGCTGTCTTCGAACAACATTCGAAGAAAGGTTGGAAATAAAACAAATTTTGCCTTATTTTCCATTGCTTATTTATATATTTGTAACAAAAACAGTTTACTGATAGAAGGAAAAAGAACTTTGTTTATTCCAAAATACAATTAAACAATAATTCATATGAAGAAAGTAATATTCATAAAATATTTTTACTTATGAAAAGTCTAACAAAATATAGGGAAATCGTCGACTTTGATAACTGCTCGGCTTTTGTATGGATTTTATCTGAATGCTTTTTAATTCGTTGAAAACGTTGCTGGAAAACCTTAAAATGTTTGCAGTAATAAAACAGCTTTCTCGCTTTATTTTCTGACATTCGGATGCCTTATAGTCACATTTTATAGGCAAATTTTCAAATAAGACAGTGCCAAAATCTTTCTTCTCACTCTAATATTACTTCACCTGGTATAATTCCACTATGGGTGGGATGCATGCAATAACACCATACGCAATAATTCCCATTACTTGGACATTAGACAGCAGTTTCAGAAGTGAACTAGTGTCATTTAATTATTATTATGTTTTTCTAAACGGTTATAATGCCACCAGCTCATAAGAGCTCGACGTCGAACGCCGTGGGGCGCGGGGTGGCGCGCGAACGTGGACCGCCGCGACGCTGGGCACTTTCAAACAGGGTTCGGATTTGTCTCATTTTGGCCCCTCGCTCGCTCGTTAGTTTGCTCTGAGTTAGCGCAACTCACGAGGAACACGCGAGGCTGTTTGCAAATGAGCACTCGTTAGGTACGAGCGCACGCGATGAGTAGCCAGCGAGCGAGTAAGCAAACGAGGGCGGCGCAAGAGTAGAGCGGCAAGCAAACGAGGGCCTCATTAGCTCTGGCCTCGCGAGAGGGGCGTTGCGAGCGAGGCACTCATTTGCAGCAGCAGACGAGCGAGGCGAGTAAACGAGCGAGGCAAATGAGGCAAGCAGATTAGACAGGCAAACGGGTTGTTTGGTCAGCAAAAATGTATGGGATAAAAATTGCATCAACTAAGAATTTAGAGCAAACGATTGTATGCACACATGTAGATATGTATATACATACATATGTATGTATTTATTTATGTATATATTTTCATGCACAGAAGAATAGATGCGTGCTATTTTTGCCAGTTTTATCTACTAGGTAGGCTCATATGTGCATACATATATATTACTATGTACTTATACGCACGTATTATTCGCAAATAACAATTTGCAAAATGGTAAAATTTGCCGTATAAACGCTGAGTTAACTTTTTATTTGCAAATAACTAAATCACGCAAATAAGTGTTGATTAGTGCTACTATTTGCAAATAAGCGCAAGACGCCGCCATTCTTAGGTTTATTTTCTTTTTCGATTGTCATCTTATTGCCTTTTTATAATCAAGACGTTGCCATTTTTGACTTTACTTTCTTTTTCGATTGTCATATTATTGCCTTTTTATAATCAGGCAATATTAAAAAAGAATTTTTCACCATCGAATAAACAGTGAGTTAGGTATTTGCAAATTATTTTTATTTATTTTTATAGCTTATTTTTATAGCTTACGTATAAACGTAGTATATGTAGGTATAGTTTTTTTAATTTTCAATAGCTTATAAAATTTCAACTTATACACTTAGGTCTCTTTTTATGTGGTTCTTTTTTATGCGGATTTGAATTTATGAGGTTTTTCAAACATTTTTTTCGCTGTATCGATTTTGCTTCTTTGAGAGTTTTTATTACTTTTTTGCAATCAATTTTTCTTACATAATTCATGTATTTTTTATGATATTTTTTGTTTTGGTTAAAATACAGAAGTGAACAAATAAATTGTTTTTTTTTTTTTTGAAGTATCTGAATTTATGCGGGTTTTGAAAATGCTGGAACGCATCTCCTGTTCTTGTATGAAATTAAAGAACTTTTTTATGCGGCTTTCTGAAGAACGCATCTACTGCATAAAAAAGACCTAAGTGTACATGAGAGACAGACCATACAAGTCCAAGCAAGTTTCATACTTTGTAAAAAAATTTGAAAATTTCAACAAAGTTTTAAACTTTTTAATCACATTTATATGTAGAGCAATGCTTGGTGTGTAGTTTTATAGCATAAATATATCATTCTCACTCGAAAAATATCATAATTGTGTTTTTTTAATAATTTTGGAAACATTTCAAGTAGAATGTTCATATTTCTCCATTTTGGTGCCTATGTCTGCATACATACTAGGTAGCATCCATGGGCGGAGGGTAGGGAAAATCCGGGAAACGCAAACGAGCGAGCATATAAAGCGGGTAAACCAAACGGGGGCGATGTGAAGTAGGTAAAAGGTGAGTGGACAAAGGGGAAAAAACGAGACATCAAAGGCAAACAATTTACTCAGGCAGGCAAACGAAGTAACGTAATGGTAAGGACATATATAAGAGAGTGTGGTTTGGGGTAACATTTATAAGTCTTTGCTAATAATTCGTCGACGAAACAAGTGTATATTTAAAAATGGAAAACCTAGTAAATTTTAACGCGGATACAAATATTTCTATCTGTTTACTGTGCAAAAAATCTCTAAAAGGAAAAAGTGTTTATAATATTAAAAGGCATTATGCAACTATGCATAAAGGAGTTGCTGTCAGCGAGAATACAAATTCCCGCTCGAGTAGAGGGGCAAAAAAAGTCGCAGAAATAAACATCGACAAAAATGAATTTTTGAATGCATGTGTAGGGATGGTAACAGTGAAAAGTATCCCATTTCGTATCTTTGACGACGAAAAGTACTTTGAGAAACTCATACACTCTTACGAAAAAATGTTCGACCTTAAAATAAATTCTAAAAATATTGTGGACAAAATTGGGTTTGCGGCAGGACAAACAAAAGTATTATAGCTGAAAATTTAAAAAAGAGGCTTATTTGCCTTAAAATGGATGTGGCGACAAGACAAAATCGCCATATATTAGGCATTAATGCGCAATACATCGATGGATATAAAATAATTATTTATACTTTGGGAATGGTGGAATTAAGAAGCAGACACACCGGAGAAAACTTAAAGCAAGAAATCCTTAATTGCTTGGACCAATTTAAAATCGAAATTCGCCAGATTTATTCCAGCACCACTGATAATGGAGCCAATGTAATAAAAACATCGAAGTTGCTTCAAATATCCCAAGGTCAAGTTCAGGTAAGACATGTTTAGAAGTCCTTAGAAATTTAGAGTTTAGGAATCATTAAAAAGATTTAATATACATATAATTAATACTGATAAAAAATTTTCTTCCCTCAGAACAATCCAAATGATGACTCCGATTCCAATGACGTAGATGATGATGGGTATGATGAAGTGCACAATACCCTCAAATCAACTATGGCTGTGGTTAGATGTGCAGCACACACCCTCCAGTTAGCAGCATACGATGTCATTAAAACAATGCAAACTAACATTGAAAGCTGTAGAAAAGCCGTTAAATCTCTCAGATGCATTCTCCGCGGTACGAGCAACGTGCCGATATTGGATAATGCAACACGTTGGAACTCAACACATATGATGCTTAATTCCTTACTTAACGTAAAGAGCTATATTGAGGAAAATGACACAAATATGCCAGATGTTGACTGGGGCTTTGTCAACGCATTTTTACAGACATTCAAACCACTTGTGGATTGTACTACTAAATTGCAAGCAGAACAGTATGTTATTGGGGATTTTTATAGAGACTGGCTAACTTGCGAACTGGAACTACAGGAACTAATTTCAAGCCAATACGATTACGCTTCGACTTTACTAAGAACGGTAAAACAGAGGAAAGCCGTGCTTTTGCAAAATGAAGCATTTTTATCAGCGATTTATGTCGACCCTAGGTTCAATTTTTTACATTCGCCATATTTGAACCAAACTCAAAAATACAAAGCAGTGGTAAGTGCGCTAAAAACATGTATATTTAAGATTCATATTAATATTACTATGCCTATGTACATATGTATGTATATGCGAAGGACAATATTAGCTACATACTTTGCATTTTATTCATTATTTTCAGGAACACCTTCTTAATACATTCGAAGCTATTCAAGAATTAGCTGGAAATCCACCCAACAACGATGAAGCGGGTGAAATTGAAGCACCAACAACAAGCCAGAGCAGACCTTTTTTCAGATTGAATAACCAACTTGACAGATTACTAAGCAGTAACGCAGCAGTCACATTACAAATAAATTTAAAGCAAAAATTAGAAAATCTTGCTTATACGCAAAGGGTCCCATTTGAAGCTGATATCCTTGAATATTGGAAAGCTCGTTCTATAAATGATAACGACATTGGACAGTTAGTACAAGTCGTACTCGCTGTTCCTTCAACACAAGTTTCAGTTGAAAGGGCATTTAGTGCTCTAGGCACAATTTTAACGAAATTGCGAACACGACTCTCGAAAGAAACTTTAAACAATTTATTAATAGTTAAATTAAATAATGATATTCTAGACAAAGTATCATATATAGACTAAACTTATAATATGTGCACATTTAAACAATTAAATAAATTAGAAACTAAGTAATTCGGCTAAGTAACTATGTTACATATGTATAAATGAGAATATAATATTTATAAAAATCATTTTTTGTCTTTTATTTCATAAATGAGTAGGACATTAACATTTTCAAATTAATAATCCTGGTTTAGTCCCCATACATATGTGTGTATGTAGTATAATACAAACTACTATTTGGGGTGTTAAACAGTATTTGATGTAATTAAGGCTGGTCCATATAGAACTTTCGCTTTGACTGTGTAGTTAGCGTTGGTTTGATAGAACGCAGCTTGGCAGATACTACTTTGGCCACTAAATTAACATATTAACGAAAGATAAATTAATACTTCATATCAATAATTGCATGAAAAATTATATTTCTTGCCCTCATTTGATTAAAAGGAAAAAACATTTCATATAATTTTATTTATTTGCAACAGCTGGCGACCGACGCACGCGCTTTGTGTTGGCCTTAGCGTTGCCAAATTTTGGTTATGTGGACGGCTGCTTTGAAATTCAACGCCAACGCAACGCCAAAGTTGTATGCGAACCGGTCTCTATTCTTTGTTTACGCAAATTTTCCCATGTCTACATATCCATATATACATGCATACATATGTACA